GTACACGTACATGTACCTTTACATGTCAGATACAAACACATTATGTACCATACGGATACTGTACAGTTTAATTATATTCTTGGCATGCATAGCATGACTGTGTGCAATGTGTATGCATACACTGATACGTGTAATTCCTACATACAAGAACACGTGCACCTGTAGGTCGACCAGTACCGGTATGTCCAATGTCTTGCGATGGTACACTTGCATACACGTATTGACAGCAGGTCTATCACACTTTACATGTATGTAAATCATTTGTGAAGAAGCTGAAAAATTGTTACAATATAAAGTATTTTAAAACAACAGTTAAAAAGTAATATGCCCCAAAAAACTTTTTCAAGGATCTTTTTTAATACCGGTACTTTGGCATTTGAAGTTTGTTTCACAGAATAAATCATCGGTCTAAATGTCCAGCAGTGTGTCAGTAGTGATCATGGAAATGTATGTATAAACACTTACAAACATGTACATGTGTGCACTCTACTACTGTACATGTACCAGTACATGTACTTCCTTAAAAAAAACTAGGGGCCAACTCCAAAATTGCATGTTTTTCCCTTCCTCCTTAAGCAGCAGAACCAGAAGTTTCAATAATTATACACATTGGACAGGTTTTTCACGTGGGAGGAATTTCCACTGATTGTACCTACTCCAAATAATCTCTGTGAAAGGTAAGTGGGCTCTTTGGGGGCTGCCTTCCTGAATTACTGAATTTTCAGGGTTCAAACTTAATCTGCATTCAGCAAGCTGCTCCTGTGATACTCAAATCTCCTTTTTCTAACTCATTCAAAACACCAAGCACTGTTTTAATAAGGAGTCCCATAAACATGAACAAGACGACATGCAACATTGAAACAAACACACTTGCGCATGTACTGTGTACGAGCACGCTCATACACCAGTACCCTCTATTACACCTCATTGTACAGATCAGCATTTTGCAATGTGACTGTCTTTCACTGAAGTGAATGCTACACTACACACTTACATTTATCACAGTAGACCCATCTTTGGGACATCTTATTACTGGCAGATACCCAATAAATGATACATGAATGTGTGTACACTTCAACAAATCTCTGTACTGTAGCAGTCATCAGGAGACAGTGCCCTGCTATGTTGTACATAGGTACCATACATGTGTCATTCATGAAGTTACATGTACATGTTCACATTAAGCGGTAATAAACTGGCACACATGAACACTCCACTCCACCCTTTCAAGGTACTCCGTACATGTACCTTACACAGAGCATACACGAACACTGTACCACGAAAACAACAGACGCCCTATTTTTTCATTTCCTGGCAAATACCCTGAGCTCCGCCAGGATCGGCTGTACAAATGACCTCTTTCCGGACTCCTACGGGAGGGGGGGGGACGTCTTCTCTCCCAGACCTCTGGCATCCATTATTCATGGAGGCGTTCACCCTTCCGTTCAGTGAGGGGATTTGGGCCCAGCAGAGCGAGTGGTACATACATGTACATGCACTCTATCCCTCATTTGGCTCTCTCTCTCCCTGTCTCTCTCCAGTGACACCTCCCCTTCCTCTTTTAATGCAAACACTCGCGATGGCCGAATATTGATACAGCAAATATATTCCAAAATGCCCTAAGCTCAGAGGGATAATATTCTCCACCTGCTTGTTGACCAGTTGTCATGGCAAATGGCATTTTAATTCTGATTTTCAACCACCACCACCACCTTGGATGAAAAATTGATTTTCCTTTTTGCTTTCACAGTACATCAGACACATTCACACCATGGTCAAACTACATGTACAGTACTGTATATTTCCCTAAAAATCAAACAATAGTTATGCCAATTATAATATCCAAGTAATTAAATTAAAACTTACATGTATAAGACCATAAGCATGATAAGCATTGTCATATGTACATGTACATGCCTGTACAGTATTGACATACATGTACATGTATGCAAACTGTACAGGTGTACACACATGCAAACAAAAGTAGGGGATTTTCAGTCACATGATTTTTGACAGTCAGCACTCAATTACACTGATGTGCTCGGAAACATGCGCATCTTCGAAGTCTCTCAACCATGTCAACATTTTGGCACAGACACAGGTTCAAAAATGCACACACATCTACAGACATGATACCGGTACACTTCCTGAAATGCCTTTGCCCATTATGTTACATCACGTGAAAAACCTCTACATGTACATGTGAAAGTCTGCATGTGATGTACACGTACCCGGTATGTACCAGGTACCATACATGTACAGTATGTACCTGGCTGCGTTCATTTTTTACGTGTACACGATGCAGTTACTGACATTAAAGAATCAAGTACTGATAGGCCTACCGGTATGTTAAATGTACACATACCAGTGCGTACACGTACCCTACTCATGTACATTAAAAATATCAGTTCATGCATTTCTTTACAAGACTCCATACTTAGATGTAGTTATAAATCCTACTAGCCCACATGAGCTCCATTGTATATTTTAACTAGCCCACATGAGTTTTGCTTTTGTTTTCAAGTTTGTTTTAATAAAGTTCTGGACAGAAGTCTTAATGATCCATAGACTTGAATGTGACAGGCTCCCGCTTGCAATTGGATTCCAATATGCAGCTACAGTACATGTACATGTGTATGTGACAAACGAGTTTCACCATAGGCTGGCCACAAGCTTTCGCCACACTAGTCTTGTTGGCCTACAAACATACTGTGTGTACAGAAGACGCATGTAAATTGCATCAGACACTACGGCACCGGTGCATCTATAGTGCATGACGCATCATGTTATCCAGGAAGTCCATGTACATGTACTAGTACAGGTACATGTGGTGTCTGCAACTGAGCTGCGATGCAAATGAATGTCTGATGTGCATGGGGATGTCCCCAAAGCTGCGGTCCGTGTTACACGCACACAGCCTTGCATTATTACACGTGAACTACCGCGGGGAGGGGGGGTAGTCGGCTATCTAGGGTCACAACACTCCTATCCCAACTGTGGAAATGCGATAAATTATTCACCGTCTTATTATCCTTGGCAAGCCATGATATTGCGGTACATGTTAAGATGCAGGCACACATTGTCTGCACACTGGCTTTGAGGCTTTGGAGTCTGCTGCACCTACTAGTACATGTACATGTACATACCGGTATTAAACTGCACATCCTACGTACACGTACATGTGCACGCATGTGAATGCAGTTTTGTAACCAAGCCATTGCATGAACTTTCTTGCCAAGCTGGGTTGTTCATTTTCACATGAAGTGGACTTCATCTTAGCACCGGTAGTAACGCAAAAGGGAGGTATCTCTGCGTCTTGTTACTGATGCACTTTTTGCAAAGGTCTGCGACATGTTGAGTGTATACAGATGAAATACTATGTATACATGAACATGTACAGCATACATGTACACCCATACATGTGCCTATTATACAATGTGTGTATGTGTACATGTACACATACAACGGTACAATCCACATGTAAAAATCCATACATTTGTGTCCTCAGAAGTGGTGTTAAAACAGAGAATCAGGGATAAAAAATGCAATTGTAACCTGTCAGCAAGTTTACAAACAAAAACTGTTCAATTGTAACAGTTTGAAACAATCTGTTTCAAACTGTACAAATACAAAGAAGATGCCAACCTGCAATTACAGTGTAAACAATGTAAAAAAATGCACTTGTAAATGCCATGTATGGTAATTGCATACATTAGCCCAAACTTCTCAGGGACCATTGAAATATGCCTGTTAGATTTCGAATGGTTAGAGTTAATTATATCAAATAATCCTTATTGCCTTTTGTGAACGTACATGCATATACAAATTAAAATGTTTTACAAATACATGAACACATACATAACCACACTGAGAAAACCATAGTAAAGCTGATCACAATCATGTTGACTATAATAATACATGCACACAGGTATGTGTACCTGTATCTTTATTTAACACAACAATATCAAGCTAAACACTCTTCACACCATTAATGTTTAATCACTAGTTGCATTTACACAGTTTCCCTGCTGGAATGACATGTACATGGACAGGCACATGTGCGTGCAATTCCCCTGAACATGCTGAAGGCACTTAACACTGCATGTACAGGTGTACATGTACATGTATGTGTATGTGAATGTATAAATTTTATTATACATACTGTACATGTATCCTACCATACATCTTATATTTGAACAAAAATTTATGGGACCACATGTACAGGTACACGTACTTGCAAAATAAACACAGACTGTACCAGTATGTACATGTAAATTGTACATGGTTTGCTTGCACCATGACTGTCACCTTTTGGGGGTGTCATTCGCATGGCATGACAAGCCCTCTCCACACATCTTTCCTTGTGAAGTGGACACTAGGTGTAGGCCTACAATGTGTGATTGAGTATACGAGCACTATAGGTCAAGGGAAACATCGTCTTGCTATTGATAAAAGAACAAACCCTGCAGCACATAAAACCCCTGACTGACTTGAGCCGGGTCAGGGCTGAAATGAATTCGTTTGGATGCATCCAGGAAGAACGAACAGATAAAGATAGATAGTGAGTGACGGTTAAGGTTTCATACGACAGATCCGTGGCTTGCTTCATTTTCTAAAAATTCACCACGGACCGGAGTAATATTCTGCTCTGATTTTTCTGTGTGTCATGCACCAAAGCTATTAAGTTTTGCTCAGGCATTCCAAATTATTTAACAGAATCAGTCCAACTCTACCGGATGAACTGCTATTCATCGAGGTCTCAAGCTTTCCAAATACCATTTTCTTCTTGCTATTTTTACATGCATATGTACACTATAAGTGTACATGTTCCTCCACGCCTGAACTGCAAAAACTCAATAAGCATGAAAATAATGTAAGAGTACAGGGCCATTAAATCTGATAACAAGTTTTACCCCAAACCTGACAGCAGGAAATAATCCTTTACACAAAAGAAAAATCACAATCAATAATTTGAATATATGCAAATAAAGTTTACTTACCTCCTCCAGCTTGTGTCGCTGGGTGGTGACAGGTATGGTGTCTGGTACGGTGCTGTGTCGTGTGACAGGTTAAGGTAAACAATCTGCATTATCAAAGCATCCCTTCAATCTGCTTTTTTGATCATTCTGGCTACCTTGGGAAATATTTAACCGCACAATCATTTGCTCCTACATTAAAAAAAGACTACAATGACATGCAGGTTAGTGACTGCTGCAAGCACATAATGTGTTCAGCACGGTATGAAAGTAAACAAACTACAGTGCAGATTAATTGTTCCATCGCGATGCCGCCGGATTTCGCTGCCTGTAAATTCATCTGGTCACCACTACACACACCTGCACATTTCTAAACAAAAGCTTCCGCAGGCCCAGTGTTGCAGGCAGTTTCTCTTTAGATTTCATACTTTACACCTAGGTTTTCTGTTTCAGCTAAGTCGGAGCCAGCGTATAGACCACGACTTGTGTAAGGACACTACATGTACATAGACACACCCCTGCTGGAGGCGGCTGTCTGACACAGTGGACTGGAGACCAGACACACCCTTCCAGAGGTGGCTGTCTGGCACAGTGAACTGGAGACCAGACACACCCCTGCTAGAGGCGGCTGTCTGACACAAGTGGACTGGAGACCAGACACACCCCTGCCAGAGGCGGCTGTCTGACACAGTGGACTGGAGACCAGACACACCCCTGCTAGAGGTGGCTGTCTGACACAAGTGGACTGCAGATGCAAAGACCCTTTCAGCAACCTGTTCCAGTTGACAGGGGAAGAGATCAGTTAGAACACAATGCCTTTCCAGGTTGCCAAGACTGCAAAAAAAATGTACGTTGTACGTTGTACAATGCAAAGTTAGATCATGGGATATCATATGAACAAGGGCTAATCAAGGTACTCACATACAAGAATATGTACAATGTACTTTACAGTAAGCACATAAAATGTACTATATAAAGGTGAGACGCACACGTGTGAGTGTGGAGTGAGTGTGAAATATCATGTGTAAAGCAAAGATATGTCACATCCCTTTCACTTTGTTAATGACACATTCAGGTGCTTTTTTGTTACTGTACATGTACATATGTGAAGTTGTAAAGAGTTTAAGCACATACAGACGTTGCAAACCTGGTAGGAGGGAAGAAGGACCATGTTGGACAAAACTCAAACACATTTCCAAATGCACATTTAACTGGTATCAAATTCAGGAAGACCCTAGTGTGTGCGGTGTATTTTTGTGTACATGTGCCAGTAGTGACAAGCTTTCAACCGTTCATTTACTTTCTTCACCAAGGGATACAAATGAGTAAAATGACCAAAATAAATCACAGGTGCTTTAAGCCAAGGAGAGTGTTAGACCCTCTCTGCAACAAATGCAAGTTCCAACGACAGAGATCGGGTGTAAAACTACCAGGTAGAAGGCGGACACAGGGCATGTAAAATTGAACGATAGTGCACGAACATCTTGGAGGCTCGCAGACACCTACATGTACATGTGCGCGTACATTGTACATGTGAAATGCATACCAAGGCATGCCACACACCTAAGTTGATACTGCAACGAACACACTTGTTATCTCACAAACAATTGGACTGGACCAAGTGAGCAAGTAAGCCACAACACAACAGCTTAATTGAACATGTCGCGTTGGTTTGGGGCTAACTTCGCGTAACATAAATGAAAAGGCCTGACACCTCTAGCTTTATACGATGATCTCTATTGTTCCAACTTAGAAATGATGGTTACAATACTCCCCTTGCAACAAACACACCTGGTTGTCACAGCAACATGTCTAAGCCTACAGCATACAAGGCTGGGGATATTTTTACCTCCCGTTTGCAACGATGGGGTGATGAGCAGTGATGCTCAGTCAGAAATGCCTTTTCAGAGGAAGTCTAATGTTTCTGCCCGTCAAGGCAAGAGGAAGACAAGTATCCTGAGCAGAATGACCGTGAACTTTCAAGCCTCCAGGAGGGATCTACGTATTCTTGATGACAACCAGAGCAGATACACATTGTACATGTAGATAGGTTCTCGCAATGCCAAAATTCTTATTACACAATACTGCACAGTTCATCGAAGCTAACAAGCCCCTACAATCTTCCACCTCCAATTGAAAATGAGGGCTTACACACCCTAGATTTCAGGCTAACATCAGTTGTTCTTTTTCAGAACCCTACTCACTCCAGAGAGAAGGGTCTCTCACATTGTGCAGTCACAAGTGCCATCTCACCGTGGAAACCCTTAACCCCTTCTCGACGGGAATTTCTTTCCGAAAGCCGACTCCAAGAATTCCAGCCTCGCTTCGCCACGAAGTCCACCTGCCAAACCGCAAATTCTCGGTTTGTAGCCCAGCGTGCTCTGCACACTTTGAATTACACGGTGAAAGGGCTGATTGTTCGGTGGGATGCGGCTCTACTCAAGCTTCCACATTCCCGTTGCCTCTTTTCAAAGTGGGGACTATTGTGGAGCTGGTGGTTATGATGCAAATTCGGTCTTTTCATTTCTGAGCTACACACAAAGGCCAATCACCATATACACAAGAGCCAGGGTCTGCCTTCTTTCACTGTGTTCGCTCGAGCGTGGACCGAGAATGATAGCTGAAAAGCCGGCTGAGGATCTCAATTTTTACGGCGTGTTTTAACGCGTCCCGGCGTGAAGGGGTTAAATCATACGTGGCCTTATGAAGTGCCAAACAGGCATCACCCTACTACATGTATATTCCTGCTTACATTGGTGCTGGGGTAAACTGTGCCCTGTACTTCTTAGTGCTGTAAATACCACATACTATACATGCAGTTGTATGCCAACAGCCAAAATGGCAACACGTCCATGTCTCATTGCCTCCATTAATGAATAAGTAATCCAAAATATATGGATCTGAAAACACTGACGTCACTTTGTACTTCAGAAAAGAAATATACATGTATGTACTGTGCATTTCATTTTACTTTTTTTTTCAAGGCAGTGTTTCAGAGAACATAAAGGTTTAGCATCACCAAGCAGCACACTCGATGCACAGAATGATGTCCGACAGGTATTTAGAACACAAAAATGCACCACACTTACGTTTCATACATGCATGCCTTGGCATTAGGAGCCAATTCTTCCCCGATTTAAGCTCGTGCTTACAAGTGCGATCCATCCAACATCTCTTGTACAATCCATCCACACCTCCTGCAGGACATCATCGGGGTATACACCGGCCAAAATATATTCTAAAAGAGAGAAACTAAAACCTGCGAGAGTCAGGCTCGCCAATGTGCTGACTGGCGCACAAGCCATTAGTTCACAACCGTGGCATGGTGAAATAGAGTGTCCTCTTTGCACTTCAAAATTCATCAAGTTTGACTCCCTGTACCTGTGGCACTGATGAACACAGTTCCTCCCACTTGTCTAACTCGTTAGATACACAGCGTATGTAAAGAAGATGGTCTCAAATAGGACAGATTTGTACATGTAAGTCACAACGTAAAGTACATTGTACAAGTGAGTGTGGAGCAGTACTGTTCCAAACCACACATACATTGTACATGTGCCAGTACATGTACCAATGACATGACTGATGCCTTGAAGTTGAAGTCCTACATGCTGGCATGTTAGATGGACATGTACATGTAGGGTATCACACACAGTCAAGATTCAGGTAGTGTATGACCATGTCTGATTTTAGGACAATTTCACATGGAAGTGAAAATTTAGACATTATTAATCGTACTTCACAAACAAAAAGAAAGTTTACGTAACAATGCCGGTGGAAGTCAAGGTAATTGTACTACATGTGCTCATTGTTCCCACCACCTTCTCAAAAGCCTCTATTTGATGAGAGAAAAGTGCAATGCACCTTCCCCTTTTGTGTGCTGAGGCTATGAACATGCATCTGAGCATGCAGTTCATCTTTTGTAACCTCTGCAGATGTGGCCAATGTGGAATCTCACATTCATATTTCCGTTTCAAGTTCTGTCATTTCAGCTCGTGCATAAATGGGTTGACTGACTCCAAAATGCACAGAAAAAAAAGGACCCTAGTAACAATGTACATGTACATGTACTGTGACCCACACACTTGTGCTGTATGCATACACTTGCCCTTGGTAATGAATGTCTCCAACAATACAAAATTTCATGAAAGCATTCACAACATGAAAACATGGACAGTGATAACCAACGGTAATTAATCCATCTACATGTACAATGCTCATACAAATTTGTGTCCATCATGAAGGAATACTAGAGCATGAGCCCCGGGGGATGGGGAGAGAAATGACTAATTACGATCTCCCACAACTGATGAGGTGCAAGTCAGCACTTTGATCTTTCTCATGATTTTACATCTAATTTTCGGTGTACCAACATTTTAGGGAAGACTTCCGACTTCAATGCCTCTGGAGGCCCCTCCAAAAAAAGTAGAAAATAAACAAACTAGCGTTGGAAATTGTGGAATACTTGTCCCTGTTTGATTTTGAACAGAAAAAGCCTTGCCAAAATATTTATTTCACAAAGTGTTTTCTGGCACTTTAGCGCTGACATTTCAGGACCTTTAACTGACATATGCTTTTTAAAGACACAACTGTAGCTGTTTGTTCACCATTGTGAATACAGCCGATTGTATGTGTTTTTAATACACTAAAATAACTTTCTTGTTTGAGAAACATTTGAACTATTTGCAAAAGATTAGCTTCAAATCTGAACCAAGATTTCCATAGATCTTTCGTCCAGTGTGAGTGCCAAAAAGTATGTGTACGTAAGCCCCATAGTGCCCACGTGTCGACAACATGTACCACTCCAAGAACATGGCGGCATATCAATTTGACGAATGAAAAACTTTAAGTGACGTTAGCTGCATGGTCACCACAGCTGCATGTGTGGTCTCGACAGCGCAGAACTTGAACAAACGCCATGTACATGTACAGGCGGCAGACATCACAGATGAAAGACACAATGAGCAAATACAGTAGCAGACACTGAACGATGGGAGGGAAACCAGCACATTGCCGAGCAACTTTGATTTCTACGACCTGCCAGCTTGCATTGTCGTTATTCTGCCCACACACAAGTATTTCA